CCCGAGTGCCCCCCCCCCCGGGGAGCCACTGGGGCAGGCGCTGCGTGTTCCTTAGCTCCCGGGGGTGTCTCTGGGGCAGGGAAGGTGAAAGCTGCCCCTCGTCGTCGTGGCCATGGCAGGCAGCGGGCCCGGTGCCGCCTGTGTGCTGGGCATAGACCTGGGCACCACGTCCGTTAAGGCTGCCCTGGTTGTAGGGGGAGAGCAGGGACCTGTGGTGGCCGAGAGCTGCTCCAGGGAGACACAGGCGCAAACGGGCAGCCCGGGCGCAGGACCGCAGGTAAGGGCTGGCAGGGGGCATCAGGGGTCACCCTCGGGCAGTGGCCTTGCCAAATCATGCTGCTCTGCTGTGATGCTTTTAGTGCCCTTCCTTGGGTTGCTTTGTACCTGGAATGAGGGAAAAGGTTGTTTGGTATCAAAAATAGAATTTAAACCTGTTTACTGTTCAAGAAAGCCAAGAAAAGCCTATTCTAAGAGAGATTGAGGTGTTTGCAAGTCGCTAAATTGGTCAGGTCAAACCAAAACAGTACAATGAGTTTGTTAGGTATCATCAGGAACTCTCCCCCTTGTTTCAAACACAGGTGGCTGCTGGGAGTGTTCCCAAAGTGGCAAAGCAGGGAGAACCAATTCTGCAGACTTTCTGCTGGAAAAGCCTGCCTCTTCTTCCATGGTCAGTTCAGAGATGTCATAAGACAATCTGAAACTATTCTCCCATGAACCAGCACTACATATTTGATGCTACTGGTCAGGAAACAACAACCAGTTGCCTCCTGGAAGGGTATTTTGAACTTAAGTGTGAGATGGGATCATAAGTGGCAATGACTGATTGAAATACCCAGGAATATGTATTCCTGTTAGAGGACTTCAGATCTACTGTATCGGTCATGTTAATAAATCACAAATAATAAAAAACATATATATTGTAATTCCTCCAGTTTAGTACTGTAGAGGTCCAAGGCCTCTTGCCTGAGCAGAAATATTTAAACACCTTCCCTACAGTTATGCTTATGCAGTCAAAGTTATATAAATTTATATAACAGTTCATATCTATGTATAGGCTATCTTTAAACGTCTTTGCTTATAATCTTCTGTCACATAGTAATTGGAATTTTGAAAAGCATAGAAGTTGCAATACAGCTTCCACTGTGACATGAGCTGGGTGATTTACCAAGTAGATCAGGGTAGATTTAAGAACAGAATATCCATAAATGAAGTGTCAGCCTGTTCAGAATCAAAGTTAATATTGGAGGGGCCTTAGGAAGGTGTGAGAGTGTGTTCAAAACAGAACCTCTTCACAAGGTAATCCTATTTCTGAGAAAAAGAAGAATGATAAAAAATAATTTAATAGAGGCATCTAATGAGTAGGAAGCGTGTTAATATGAACATGTGAAGGGGACAGATTTTTATAAGGAATTATTTTGAGAGTGATAACTTAGAAATTATTTGGCCTTCAGTGTAAGGTGCTGTTATATCAGTCTCAACTTGCTAGTATTGTTTTTGCAGGGATTGTGGGTTTTTTGTTTGTTTGTTTGTTTGTTTTTGCATTATTCCTGTCTATTTAAGAGTGAATATTATTCTAATGTATGATATTAAACTAAATTAATTATGTTGTTCACTTCTGACTAGAGTAGGCTTATTTAATAGAGCGAGTAAATCCCAATGACTTTATTTGGTATATTCTTTATAATTGCAGGGCATGGAGCAGAATGTCAGAAAGATAATAAGAGCACTGAATGAATGCCTTGCTGCTCTACCCCAGCAACAACTTCAAAGAGTCAGACACATTGGTATTTCAGGACAAATGCATGGGATTGTGTTTTGGAAAAGAGATAAAGGTAACATCAATTCTTTGGCATTCTTATTTCAAATATTTTGATGCAAAAAATAATTTTTAGCATTGATATGATCTGCAGGAAATTACTGCATGTTCACTTTGGACTTCCGTAAGACAGAGTCATTATCAAATCTTGTTCTGCAGGGATTTTGCTTTAATTTCTGGAATGTCAGCTGCTCACTACAGTTAACCATGTTGTTTACATAGACTAGCTAAGGGATTTAGTCTTATGAGATCCCTGTAGAGTCAGCACAGCCATTAATATGAAGGGGAAATTGCATATTTGTAGCTTGACAATTGTTTGTCCATCGTATGCAGAAGGAGAAAGACTGAAGTCTGGTAAAAGATGATTTCTGTGTTTTCAAATTGTGTGCGTGTTTTTTTTTTCTTTCTGATTAATCATAGACTCTCGTGTTGCATTGATCTTATTGCTTATATTTCTGTGAGTAGAACAGGATTATGGTCATGATTCTAGGTACACGGGTGCTTGTAGAATGAAAGGCCAAGATCTCAGAAATGAAATCACCCACCATGAGTTAGTTATATGGAACTTGATCATGCGCATACTCAAATAATCCTTATGACAGGGAGGATATTTGAAGAGCAGGGCTTGATTGCCAGCTTGGGAGCCAGGTACAGCTTCTCTTCTTGGCTAGGCTGATATGAAGTCTAGGGTGTTTGTTTCAGATTTCAGAATCTGGTTCCTTGTCTTCATTCTCTTTATGATGCGAATGTCTGAGCAGTTTATACTGCTGTATTTGTATAAACTGTAGTTTATACAAATATTATAATAATAGTCGAAAGTATTAAAATAATGTTAGGAAGAAGCTACACAAATTAAGCAAAGATTTATTATAAAACATGGAACAGATTTCCCGAGAGCACTGGTCATTGCGTGTCTTAGGTTGTTAGGCTCTTAATAGCTTTAAGAAACAGTATGCTGCTCATTACTGACTATAATTTTACCTTAACTACTAAAATCATTATGAAAAAATATTCCTAAAGGCAGATGGGCTGAAGGAGCTGTTGTTTGCTTTCCAGCTGTCCCAAGGGCTGTCTAGCAAAGCCTCGTGAGTTGATGATGGACATAGATTCTTTTATGATTTTGCTTAATATTTTATTTCCTAAAGCCACATGTCACTTTTCAATTCTTGCATTCAATAAAGGGAAGAGTTTGTTTGCTCAAATTTGCTTTGAGTAGACTAAGTGAATCCATGCACTTTGGGACACAAATTAGATGTTTTAATAGCATCCTTCAGAGTTAGATTTATGGTTAATAGTATTTCTTAGAATCCATTTAAAACTAGAAAAACAAACCAATTGGAAATTCAGTTCAAACAGACTTGATAGAACGGAGAACCAGGGGGACAGAAAAAGATATGTATTGGCTTTGCGTGTTTCATATTGTACTACCCAGTTTTCATGGCTGTTTATTAGTGCGTGAGTGTGACTTCAAATCCCTATACCCAGTTCAGAAAAGACTCTTTGTGCATGTTTGTAAGTAAGTAAAACAGCCTGGGGCCTCTTCTTGTCAAGGTCAAGTGCCACAGTCCAGCTTGCATCTGTATAATAAAAGTCTACCCCATTCCCCAGCCAAAAGGAAAAAAAGAAGCCTCAGTCACAGAATCAGGTTTTCTTTTTCTTTGACTCAAATATGGAAATAACTACATGTTATCCACTGCATGCAGTTCTACTACTACAACTCTCTCTAGGTCGTGATGTGACAGATCCTAATTAAGGTTTGTATCCAAGAGATGTCATAGCACGTCATTACCTCCCTTAGCCAAACTGCAATTTTTTGATGGGTTACTTGGAATTTAAGTTGTATCATTAGTATCTCAAGGTGCCTTTTGACAATAGGAGTGCTAATAGAGATGGAAGACTTTGAATAGTGTTCTCTGTTTTAGGAAAGGATTATGACATTATTTAGGACTGAAAAAGCATGACTAATTCCTTTGATTGCAATCTCTCCTGGCTTTTTTTTTTTCTTCTTTCTGTTCTTTTTCCGATTTATTGCACAATCATCTGAGTATCCAGAAATGCAAAGTGCTGGGCATGCTGAGGCCGTACTTCGGGAAATCACTGGACTTTTTGGGCACTCTGTGTTTTAGGTTGTAAATGGACAGAGAGTGAAACTGGCCCAACCTTTGAGCCCGAGGAGGTCAGTAATCTGGTCACTTGGCAAGACGGCCGCTGCAGCCCTGACTTCCTCTCTTCTCTTCCTCAGCCACAGTCACATATCAGCTTGGCTAAAGGATTTGGATGTGCCACAGTCTTCTGGTATTTAAAAAACAGGTACATTTTTCTCCAAAAGCCTTTTTCTATCAGGCTGTTTCATTGGCAGTTTCTCATGTTGACCTACGTGACAGTTAGTATTTCTGTAGCAGGTTACTGCCACTGCAGGCTCAGTTGCTGCATTTCTCTGTAATCGTAGTATTAATTAAATAGTCAAAGAATATTTAAAATACCAGAATAGAATATATGCAACAAAATATACAAGAGATCCTGACCTCATAACAATACTACAGCTCTCTTAATACAAAGAAAATCCTCTGCCCATATAGTAACAGAAGCCTTAAAGAATCAGAAAAATTCTAACCACTCTGCTGCTTAAAGGAGATCTGGTGACACAGTCTGAACACTATGATTTTGCCTTTTGCAGATTGTCTGTCAAAAGTCCAAACATGACTAAGACAGTAACAGAATTGCTTTGGCTGCTGCTACCAGATGCTAAAAGAAACAGTCCCTAAATTAATTCCAGTTTCTTCCTTCCTTCAACCCTGAGCTCCTTATGAGGTAGAATTGATGTGCTAAAAGAAACAGTCCCTAAATTAATGCCATCTGCTTTGTTGTGTGATGTTTGCAGAGGATGTAATTTTTCACTCCTGATTTGGCATTGCACTTCAGGACTTGCTCTTCAGTGATTTCAGACAATTTCATCTCTAGTACATTAGGTTTCTCAAAGAGCTGATTTTTCCTCAGCAATGAGTCTAGCTGCTTTTATAAGTTGGGGAAAACTTAGTTTCTTTCCAAGTGTGTTCAACAAACGTGTAGAATGTGGCCAGATCTTGCACATATTTGAAGTTTCTTGTAGCACTGGAAGTTTCTTGCTGCCTCATGCCTTGAAGCGCCCTTCATTGGTTTTTGGTTAATAATGTTTCGTTCAAAAGTCCAGATTTTCTGAAGTCTTATGATGCAGCTGGCACTATCCATGACTATGTGGTTGCCATGTTGTGTGACCTGAAGAAGCCACTGATGTCTGACCAGAATGCTGCCAGCTGGGGATATTTTAATTCCAGAAGCAAAAGCTGGAATACTGACATGTAAGTGCTAAAATCATTCAATACATTCTGTATGTGGATTGCACTGGGCAATATAGACATCTCTTTGGGCCCTAAATATACAAGTGCTACAGACTAGAAAGTGATTGGAACTCACTCTTAATCAGTCAGAATGTGTCCCATACAGGAGTGTTGGGGGTTTGATCTGGCTTGTAGGGGACATAATACTTAAATTGTGTAAAAACTGGCATTTAGTTTAGAAGCAGTCAAAACAGCAGAGCCGAGAGGGTCGTCAGTAAGACCTTGTATAAAAAGATGTTCCTTTCTGATGGGATGGGTGGACAGGTGCCTGCTGCAGCTCCTGCATTACCTGTGTGCTGGTAGAAGAAGGCTATTAATTCTTTCTGCTGAGCTTTTTTGTAGCCACTAAGTTTGACTTGCCAAATTATCAAAAAGTTACTAGGCTACAGGAGGTCTTAAGGGAAATTAGAGGGGTTCGTTGTATTTTTTTTAATGATTTGCTCTTTCAGGGGGGACGTTATACAATTCAGGGCTTAGGTTAGGCCAGGACTCCCAAGATGAAAAGATCTGCTCATGAGGTAACTACTTTTTAATGCCTTGAAAGAATGTCAGATGTTTGCATCTGACTTGCTGATCTTTCTGCTGACCTTCAACACCTCTGGTGTTGTAGGTGTCAGCGTAGTGTATCTTGAAGTTTGTTTAAGAAGTTTGTTGGACTTAAATATTTGTGATTTGATTTTGAACCACTAACTATTTTCATAACAACGCTAAATTTTTTGGCACTTGAAAGCTGATTTTTTTTAGTCTGTTTTTGTGATTGTCTCTTAACTCTGGAACTGCCTGTGTTTACGATAGCATTAGATACTAACTGGCCATGCTGTTCTATAATCTCATTTAACCAAATTATATATAAAGTTAATGAATTTATTCTTTGGGAGTGTTCTAGTCCACCCAGCCAGTAGAACTGGAATGCTGCTTTAGCCTGAGGTAAAATTTTCTAAATAGGTGAAAACATCTATAAATCCAGCAACCACAAATGCCAGGTTGACCTATGACTTCAAAGAGGTCCTTGTAGTCATGTTGCATGTTCCTTTACTGCTTTCTTGCAATTATATTGTTCTGATTGCAGCTTGAAAAAGTCCAGCTTTCCTGTTCACTTGCTTCCAGAGGTGCGAGACCCTGGTACTATTGCAGGCAGAACAATCTATGCCTGGCATGGAATACCCAAGGGAGCAGAAGTTGGAATTGCCCTGGGAGATTTTCAGTGCTCTGTTTATTCTTGTCTGACTGAGAAGACTGATGCAGGTATGATTGTGTAGCTGATAGACTGTACTTGAGACCTTCATTTTTATTTGTATCTGTCTGTGTAATATTTACCCACTGTCCTCCTTCAGGGTTACCAGGTAAAACACTGATTTTTTTTCTTTTGTGTTCTAGTTCTCAATATTGGCACCTCAGCTCAGCTGACCATTTCTATGCCCCCGGGATTCCAGCCTCCAGAGACACCTGAGCCTTCCTCAGCTGTTACTTATTATCCCTACTTCAGTGGTAACTACTTGGCAGTGGCAGCATCGCTCAACGGCGGCAATGTGCTAGCCATGTTTGTGGACATGGTGGCCCAGTGGATAGCAGAGCTGGGTAAGTTATTTCAAAATAGTTAAAGCTTAAAATTAAGGTTGAACAGCAAGGCACTAGGGTAATTAACGCAAAAGAACGTGCCAAGAGCTGTTTTGTCCTGCTCTGTTTGGAACAAGGATAACTCTTTGCTCACGCTTCCTAGATCTCCAGAAATTGCTTTTCAAGCTCATGCACATACTGGGACAGACATACCTGGACCCTACAATTGCATCGTCTCTAGGCTTTTCTTTTGTGTCAGAATAGGAGAATGTTTCAGATGGAAGGGTCAACAAATTTGAAGGCAGCTGTTAATTTTCCATGGTTGCAGACACAGAAAACAATTCTGTTATTGTCTTTTGCTGCAGATTTTCAGAACTCTAAATACCTAGTGGATTTAGACTTGTGTAATAATCCCTGTGTGCATTGAGTGTGGTCTTTACCATCTCTTTTTTTTTTTTTTTCATTTTTTTATTGGCTGCTACAATGCAGCAGTTAATTCTTATATCTTGTTTCAGCGAATCTTTAAAGGAAACTCTGCACTTAGCTTCAGTGACTGGGTTGCACGTAAAATCTGCCATTAGTGCCTTTAGTGATGTGTTTCTGTGTAACTTCACACTGTGTAGGTGAAGAAAGATAGCTATATTATCAAAAATGACAGTTTCTGAAATAATAATAAAAAAGTAGTATCAGTCTCTTGAGTGATAGGAAGAGGGTTCAGAGTCCTAGAAAAGCAGTTAACTTTGATGCAGAGAAAAACAGATACACAATATTTTACTGAGCAAGTGAATCAGTGTCTATTTTAAGCTTGCATGTTTAAGCTATAGTAGATCCCTTCAAATTAGTAACATAGTATATCCCTTTTGCAGGCCTTGAGATTCAGGAGACTACGATCTATTCCAAGATAATCAAAGCAGCCTTGACCCAAAACAACAGCAAACTCTCAATCCACCCAACAGTATTTGGAGAGAGGCACATGCCTGAGCAGTTGGCTTCGGTGACTAATATCTCTGTCTCTGATGTCTCTCTGGGTCACGTAACAAGAGCTCTGTGCCGTGGGATCATTGAAAATCTTAATTCCATGCTGCCCTCTGAGTGCCTGATGGAGATGGGTGTGAGGAGGATTTTGGGAACTGGGAGTGCCCTTGCCAGGAATGAGGTGCTAAGACAGGAAGCAGAAAGGATTTTCCTCTTCCCTGTGGTTTACGGGAAGGATGTTGATGCTGCTGTAGGGGCTGCCATGGTGATGTTCCACAGAAAATAAAGTCATTGTTCGGAATGGCCTGACATGTACTTTCTTTTTCTTTTTTTTCCCTGTGGATATACAGTGTTTCTTTTCTCTTCCTAACTCCTTCTGGAGTGTTCAACATACCATCTCACTTACCACAGCAAAAACAGCTTGTATTTAACACTTGTTTCTGCTTCTGGATGTACACAGGGACCTCCGTTTTCTTGCTCTGTCATTCTCATTTGTGAAATGAGAAATAATTACCACATTAAATTTGACTGAGCGACTGGGAAAGATCCATTAAATTTCTGCGTGAGATGATAATTTCATGCTAGGCTCTTTTTTCCTAGTACAAAATATGTTTAGAAGAGCTAAGAGAGATGAGTAGCTTTCTGTAACTTAGTCTGATCCTTTCATTAGAAGCATTTTGTGCTTAAAAGCTGTCTCATTGTACACACATGCATAGGTAGCAGTCTGGGCCCTCAAGCTTGTTTGAGGGGTTTGGTGACACTTGCACAGAATGAATGACATTTTTTACATGTTGCAAGTTGTCCCCATAAAAGGCGAAATACAGCCTTAGCTTGCACGTCAACAAAATGATCTAAATAAAATATGGAGGCTTTTTGTCTCTGTGGTCATCCAGGTTCCTTGCAGTGGATTCAGGTCAGTATGACTAGGTCAGTACCATGACTGGAGACACCTGAAATGCAGGGCTTATACCCTAATGCAGAATACTTTCACAGGGTGTGAGGGAGGTAACTATTTTCCTTATTTGGCAGTATATAATTATTTTATGTTTGGTTTTGGGTGGTAGAGAGGATCAGGGTTTCTCTGGAACTATCGGAGTTTGTGAGGAACAGGAGGTGGCCAACTCAGGAAGTTTTATGAAGCCAAATCAATCTTCTTCTCTTCAAACTGTGGTTTTACTTTTCAGCCCAATCGCAATTAGCATTTCTGAGAGATGGTCCACAGAAATGATTTGCTCTTGAAATACACCAGAATTCTTGGGCATTGTATTTGATTTGAAGGTGTTTTTGCCCTTCGTTCAGGTATTATGTTATGTAAATGAGCTTTAACATGGCAGGTACCGAGCTAGACTCTGAGCAGTTTTTAGTTTTGAGTATTGATCATGATTTCCCTTAAAAAATCTCTCTCTCTTATTTCCTGTGCTATGTTCTTAAAATTGATTTTTCAGCCTACTCTTTATTTTAATGTAAAAACATTCACACTTTGTCAGTCTAAAAGAGTAAGAAAGATAGTTTCATGTCATCTGGATAGAATTCTGTTACTTAGAAGATCTATTTCAACTGAAATATGGATGTGTATTTTGCACAGTAACATAATCAGGACTGCCTTATTTTCTTAGTAGGAAGGCTGTTCTGAGAACTTAATTACAGAGATGGATTAATTTCCATCTCCCTCCAGCCTTCCTCCATGCATCTGTTCTGTTTGGTGTTTATAGAACTATTGTCATAAATAGAATTTGTGAAGTGTGTGAAGTAATCGAAAGATTTTGTGAAAAGTCTGTTTTTGTTATGTGTTGTTTTCCTTCTTTTGTTTTTCTAAAATATTTTTTGCAGATCTGTTTTCATTTTTATTATCAGCTCTTTCCACAGCTGTTCAACACTTACCCACTGTGACACTGCAGCTGCTGTCAAGGATGAAACTAGCTGTGTCCATTTGTGTGCAGAACGTAGTAAAATTTGGTCTGGCTCTAGATTGAAGTCATCTCTGCTACTTTTAGCAAAGTCAAGACTTTCTCTGACCTGCAGACAAGCCTTGTATACATCTTTAGGATCTAATCTACTGATGGTGAGTGAAGGGAGCTTTTAGTGGCAAAAATCTTTCTCAAGCACAGCATACAAAGCCTATACACTCATGTGTGGGTGCATGGATGCAAGCTCAAGAAAAAGGAATAATTTCCTTCTGATTTATTACTATACTCTTAATGATAGGCATTGACATCTCCTAATGAGCTTACACCCTTAAACCAGGTTCCTCCTGAGGTTATGATACTTCCTTCTTACCAGCATAGTACTGGAACTCTTGTAATGATTACTTGAGGTACTGTCTCCACAAGAAATAGGAGTTACAGAGAGGATGAGGGAGGCATCAAAGCTCAGGAAATAGCAGAAAACTTCTAAAGCATGTACATCAGAGCATGGTAAGACTGAAAGGAACTGAAGCCAGGAATGGGAGAAGAGGGGAAAGGAGCAGCTCGCTGGAAAAGGCCTCTCTTCAGCCTAGTCTTTGGCAGAGAGATCCTCTATACATGATGTATTTAACAACACTTGACACAATTTATTTTTTGAAAAAAAGATATTTTTTTGAAAAAAAAAACAATTACATGTATATTTTTAAATACTGCATAATAGGAACATGGAATGATAGAGTGGTCTAAGGATTTCTGTTATTGGATTCTTCTCTAACTCTGTTCAGAATCAGTATATCTGTAGGATATTTATCAAGATTTTATGCAGCCACCAAGAGCCTCCAGAGAAGCTGAAGGATTTCACAGAAGAGCTGTGGTGTACTTCAGAGAGCTTTGCAAAGTGAAGTGAAACTCTGATCCACAGAAACAGTTGTATTGTTTGGTGGTTTGAGTGTTTTTTTGCAGCTTGAGTGATTTTTCAGAGAGGAAATCTGAAGAGGAGTGCCCATTTACTAAATGCAATTATGGAGGGGAAAAACAACACCAACATATTGCAATTCTTGTAAAAAGCTTTGCTAAGCCCCTGGGAATAGTAGCTACAGATGCTTCTGCTTCCAGAGTTGTTTTAATGATTTTATTACTGTATTCCCTGTTCTTCTAGTGAACTTCCCTTGAGTCAAAAAAATCAGCAACGCATAGAACAATTTTGTGGATGAAGAAGTGGAGAAGCAAGCTGTGAGATCTTTTTGGTCCAGGCGTGTAGGAGAAGGAATCTCCTGCATCAAATTCCTGTATATCAGAGGGTGCTTACTGAGACTGGAATATTTTGCAGAAGACAGGATTTTCTTCAGTATTTGTAAGTTCTTCATGTGTATTTGAATAGCAAGCTTGTTGGTTGTTTATAAGTTCTCTTTGGTATTTATCATTAGTTGTGGTTCAGTTAGATACTCTCAACAACAATATTTTCTTTTTTTTTTTTTTTAATTGTTCAAACTTTGATGTTCATAGGATTCAAAGAGTCAAATAGGTGGCACATTTTTTCGGATTAGAAAATCTTGTCCTTAATAACCTTCAAAATTCTTTGGTAAGATTATTTCCCTTGCAAATTCATGCCTCTGAGGAAAAGCAACTTTTTCTTTATTATACAGATGTTACTAACAGACTCTAGAAACAAAGCTCATATAGTGACTAAAACAAAACTGAGCAAACTGCCAGAGATCCAAGATTAACTTTATTCTCCTGTAGCATCTATTCCATAGAAAAGGGGTTGCTATGGAAAATTAAAGCATTTATCTCGACATTTTTCACTTGATCCACAGCAATTTGAGACCAAAAGAAGGATTACATAAAGCTGTTTTCATACTTCTTTTTTTTTAAAAAAAAATATATATATTTATCTATTTTTATAACTTCCTCCCTAAACTAATTGTTCTTCTGTATTTTTAATATCAAATTCCAAATGAAAATATTTTTCTTATGCATAAGTTCTTATTTATAGAATAAATAAGGTAACAAGATGCAATGTTTTTCTTTGAGTGCTTCTTAGGATGCAAAGTACACAAAAGATTGGAGGTCACAACTTTATGCTGATTTGCTTCCATTACTCTAAATGTAAAAGTTTGCAAATTGATGTTTTCATTCCATGTACATTATTCAAAATTATAGAAAATGCAAATGTATGACAAATTTCATTGCCATCATACTTGCACTGGAAAATGTAACTGTGCCTTAGTAAATATTAATCCCACAGATCTGAAAATCAGGCTTTCATGTAATATGTAGATTTATTGACATTTCCTCAGAACATTTTTGTGAAGAGAAACAGCTTGGAAGCATATTTGTGACATTGTATTCTCACTGAATGTAGAGAGAAGGTTATTGAACATTGCAATTGTTTTATAATTGAAAGCCTTTTCAAGATTTTATAACATCCTTCTGTTCACAGTAGTAAGATTTTCAAAGCAACCTAGGATTTAAAAGGGTGCTGAACAGCCTTAGAAAAAGTACTCCAAACGCCAGGAACAGGCAGTTCAGATATGATGTTGCTGTTTCCAGATTATTTTGCATTTAGTGGTATGAATATCAATGTGCGACTTCTTTAAAAGTTTGATAAGAAAGAAAAAAAATCTCTGCTCTGTCTTTATTATTGTATGTTTATCATCTTCTCTCAAAGTCGTTGTGGTTGTAAAAAGACAAGATCAGAGCTGTGGCTTTACAAAGACCTCTTATCTGTGGTAATGATTTCCTTTCTGTTTCCGTATCTCATGTCTGAGATGACACTAATCTCCCAAGAATCATACAGGCCAATTTTCATCTGGTACTGTAGTATCTCTGGTAAGGTCATTAGGTGATAACTTTCCTGCAGGAAACCCTTTGCACCCAGCATCACTGAGAAATGTTTATGGCACAAAACTCTCCCTCCATTTTTCTTCATATGCCAAATATGTTCTTGAAAATATCTTGTGGTACAAAACAGTTATCAGCTAGAGAAGAAAAGCAGGGATTGTTCTGGGTTGGAGATTGCTCAGGGTTTAACAGCAATAACAAGACTGTATTGGAGGCAGAGGAGGAGGCTCCAGTTTAAGCCAGAGAGCCAGCTCTGTAGGCTGGGGGGGGGCTCTGTGCCATTTTCATTTGTTGTCTCTCTTATAAAATGGGTAGAGGCAACGAGGAGTAACAAACAGTGGGGGAATAATGACCTGCCAGACTGCTCCAACTCTAGGCAAAGTGACTGTGCTTCTCAGTATCATTTCTGGGATGACAACAACCAATCCATTCCCTGCTGTTTCTGAAGAGAACCCCTAGGAAAAGGGAGACTCACAGGCTTGCAAGTGTTGACTTGAGTTGTTTGTGTGTTTTTTTCCACAGACTGCCTGTTCATCATGTCTTCCATTCTTGGGAAGATGAAGAAGTTTGGCAGCTCTGATGTGGAGGAATCTGACGTGACAGATGAACACACGGATGGGGAGGACTCCCTGCTGGAAATACCTGACCACCTCAACACCAAGGTGCAGCCACCCAAAAGCAGCATCTTTGCAAGACGTGGGCGGTTCGTGATGGGAGATAGTGACAAGGATATGGCACCCATGGACTCCTTGTACCAGATGGATCACCTGATGGCACCTTCTATCATCAAATTCCATGCCAATTTGGAGAGGGGGAAACTTCACAAGTAAGTTTACCTTGTAAGATTTGGCTGTCATGAATGTGGTTTGACTGCTTCAGACTGTGTTTCTTAGTGCAGCATTTATTATTCCCACACTAGCGTGCTGGAATTCTTGTTATTTTCACCACCATGGTGAGGAGAATATTCTATTGCATTAACTAATATCCTGCTGTTATATGTAAAAGTGATAATGGTTGTTGGCCTTTGACATCTCTGTGAAAATTCAGCCAATGGATGTTTCACCCAAAGATAGAGACAGGCCTTAGTAACTTGAGACTGTTCAGTGAATAATTCTGAATGAAAAAGTGAGTGTGTCTGGCTTCCAGGCCTGTAGTTACTGTCAGACTTCAGTACTTCTTCAAATATAGTTCTCAACTTTTCAGCAACAAAACCAGAATTTTATGGGAACAATTATCATCTTGTAGACTTTGCAGATCTATGCACCAGTAGTGTTTGCTACTTCAAACAAGCAAATGAAGCTTAGTGGTCTGCTTATTTGTAACAGTTCTGCTTAATTCTAGTCTGTAAGTAACTGAAATTTACTCTTGTCAGGCTCCTATCTACTGATTCCATCACAGGCTGCTCAGAAAAAGCTTTCAAATTCTATGACCGCAGAAGGATCTTTGATGCTGTCGCCCAAGGCAACACGAGTGATCTGGATGATCTGCTACTCTATCTTAATCGGACCTTGAAGCATCTCACAGATGATGAATTCAAAGGTACCTTTTAGTGTCTTTTCCTTCTTCCTGTAGTGCTACTGAGATGGGAGAAAAAAAAGAAAAAAAAAGTGTAATTATGTTGAATGCAAAGTAACCACAAAACCACTGAATGGTTGAGGTTGGAAGGGACCTCTGGAGATTATCTAGTCCAACCCCCCTGCTCAAGCAGGGAAGACCTCTAACCACAGAAGGACCTCTAATTGCAGGCGCTTCCCTCATTATTTGGGCAGCTTCTTGATTATGAGTTTGGAAGACATTTTAGAAAAGTTGAAGAATTTTCCTGTGGAAATCCCAAATGGGCTTTCTTGTCTTTTCAAAAGATCCTCAGGAACTCTTGCATGCCTGGGACTCATGGTAGGTTTATAGTCAATTTTATATATCTGTAATCTTTTGTGTTACAGAACCAGAAACTGGAAAAACATGCTTATTGAAAGCCATGCTGAATCTGCATGATGGGAAAAATGACACTATTCCACTGCTACTGGATATTGCAAAGAAAACTGGAACTCTGAAGGAGTTTGTTAATGCAGAGTACACTGACAACTACTACAAGGGTAAGAGACACGGCCAATGCAATGAACACTTCCTAATGACTCTGAAGGTGGAGATGCCCTTTCTGATGTACACTGATTTATCCACAGGTTCAGGGAACTTGCATTTACTCTCTGTGCCATCTGACTTTGCTTAATTACAGAATTTTTCAGTGTGCAGAGCTGTTAGTTCCAGCCTTCTGTGTGGAGCTGACAGCCTGAAAGCTGTCAGTTGGTGTTACATGTGATAGATTTCTGTGTCTGATGAGTGTCTCTGTAGGCCAAACTGCGCTTCACATCGCTATTGAACGAAGGAACATGTACCTGGTGAAGCTCTTGGTCCAGAATGGAGCAGATGTTCATGCAAGAGCCTGTGGGGAGTTTTTCAGGAAAATCAAAGGAAAACCTGGCTTTTATTTCGGTATGAGTGAGCACAACATGTACTTTACTGATAATGTTATCCATATAATTATCTCAGATGTAAAGCTGTTCAGATAATACTGTTTACCTGGGCCTGGAGTCCTACAGGAAAGGTGGGATTCACAGAGCCACAGATGGGCCCTGGTGATGCTTAGTGTTCAGCTTGTTGTCTGCATCCATTTATTTCCTGAGTTCTATAGTCTTTGAAAGGTTGTAACCTTCTGCAAGCCCTCTTTTCAGGGCTTTTTTACCAGCGATTCTGTGGTGTTTCAGTTAAACCAAAGCAAATGCAGTTCTAACAGCTGTCTCAAGAGCTTATGCTGTATCAGAGAAAATGCTCACCTTGTTCTCCTCGTGGTGAAAGACGAAAACAGCACGGTCCCTTTTTAGTTTATGTATGTGCCCATGTGCTGGTGTCTCTCACCACTCATTCCCATTTATTACCCCTAGGGGAGCTGCCTCTGTCCCTGGCTGCTTGCACCAACCAGCTCTGCATTGTGAAATTCCTCCTTGAGAATTCCTACCAGGCAGCCAACATCTCTGCTGAGGACTCCATGGGCAATACGGTCCTGCACACGCTGGTGGAGATTGCAGATAACACTAAGGATAACACCAAGTTTGTTACCAAGATGTACAATAACATACTGATCCTTGGTGCCAAAATTAACCCTCTCTTGAAGCTAGAAGAACTCACCAACAAGAAAGGGCTGACACCATTAACTCTCGCAGCCAAAACAGGAAAGATAGGGGTATGTGGGCACATGTATATCACTCTCCAACCACTGCACCAAATTACAGAGCACATATAAAACATCTATATGAAATAGACAGATTTTTCGACTGCTTTTTGACTGATTTTTTGACTTGCATAGACCTTTTAGTTCATTCAATTCCTATTGATGCTGCAGTTTCACCTGCAGAATTTTGAAGTCCTAAAGGCTATGAAGTGTGCGTCTGTAAATGTCCAGCTTACATTATGCATGGATCACCATTATGCATGTGCCAGCCATGCTGGAAGAGAAAGGAATTCTCTCCTTTGTATCTGAGCTACGAAAGACATTGGACTTTTGACTGGCTTGTATAACCCACCCTCTGACAGTTCCTGTTTGCCATAAGTGCAAACTCAGAGACGTGTAACAAATGTCTCTGCATTTCTCTTTCTTTTCTGAAACAGGTGTAGTCAGCATAAGTGGTAGAAAGCAAAGAGAGAGACAGACATATTCTTGTTTTCATGCCCCAGAAAACACTGACAAAATTGATACTGCTTAGTTCAGACTCTGTTCTTTGCAGTTCTCCAGTAAGTTGACTTCAGGACAGTTAAACTAGGGAGAAATTAGCTTTGCCCTTTTATGGAAAAACTGAGGAATTTAAATTGCACTAGCACTGAAATGTTGGTTATATTTTTCTTTTGCAATTAGATTTTCTCTTACATCCTCAGACGAGAGATGAAAGATCCAGAATGCAGACACTTGTCAAGGAAGTTCACCGAATGGGCCTACGGACCGGTCCACTCATCTCTTTATGACCTGTCTTGCATAGACACATGCGAGAAAAATTCAGTGCTTGAGATCATTGCCTACAGCAGTGAAACACCAGTGAGTATGCACCTCTTCAGCATTTTCTTCATGGGGTGGGACTAGGGGAGAGGTCTATATTCCACATGATGCATCTTTTTAAAGATCTTGCCCTTCTGGCAGGGTGATGTGCTAATGTCACTCAATGCAGTTTGTATTTCCCCAGGCTTGGAAGCAGTGGTTGAGTGCGGGTTATGCCCAGGAGATTTGCAGTCTCTTGTCATCCTTTTCTGGGGTCTGTGTCATTTCCTGCCATTTCTTCCTCCTTCTTGCATCCTTCTCCTGTGATGAAACAGCTTCTAGTGTCTAGAACAGGAAACTGGGTAGCTGGAACTGTTCCAGCTGTCCCTGTTTCTGCTTCCAACTGTGCACAAGTCAGTTTGCCTAATTTCTATAAAACTGCAATCTCCATTCTTGAGTTAAAGGTTATCAGAGGGAACATTTGCTGAAGATGACTAGTATTTGCTGTTTTCAAACCCCATTAGATACTGATCCTGTCAAGGTTCTCCTCTTTGTCATTCCAATCAGAACCGGCATGAGATGCTGCTGGTGGAACCTCTCAACAGGCTGCTGCAAGACAAGTGGGACCGGTTTGTCAAACACTTATTTTACTTCAACTTCTTTGTCTATACCCTGCACATCATCATCCTCACTGCAGCTGCCTACTACAGACCTGTGGAGAAGGGGCAAAAGGTATGTTACTGCTGTCACATATCAGTGGAATGAGCCAGTGTATGATACCCCAAATCTGCCTGCCATTTGAAGGTGTGCTCCTAGGGTCAGTTTTCCTTCTTTCATAAAGGTAAGAGGGAAATTTTGACCCTGCTTGCTTCCCAGTCCTGCTTCCTTTCCGCAGCAAATTAGAAGCTTAACCTATTCCTCAGGCAATGTAGACACTTTCAACTGCTTGAAAGGACAGGTGTTTTCTATCTCCACCTCTGCTGAACATTTTTATATTCCTGTCTTATACAGCCTCCATTCACATTTGGTCACAGCACTGGGGAATATTTTCGAGTGACTGGAGAGATCCTGAGTGTACTGGGAGGTCTCTATTTTTTTTTCAGAGGGGTAAGATATTTGAAAGTTTTCCTTTGTGTTGTTTGTGTAGGTGGAGGTGAGATCCAAAATCACATTTCCCATTCATTAGAAAAGATTGCTAGGATAATGCACGTCTTAGTCAAAAACTTCAGTGTTTTCCTCTCAGTAGGGCTTTATCTATTGCATGGAAAGGAGGATCCTAAGAATTCAAGGAGCACCGGGTAAATATCAGTTGGCCAAAGCTTAAGAATGGCTTTATGTTACAAATAACTAGATCTACATTAAAGATTTCCTGTCTTAGCTTAGGTCACCCTGCTTTCTCTTGGCAGTCAGTGAAGAGTGTACAGTGAATATGATAAGATCATGAGTCCTCTTATGGAGCCACTGACTGAACAGGTTGCTGCCTTTAAAAGAGGCCCCAGGTACCAAAGAGAACTCAGGAGTCCTCAGTGAACACTACACCAGTGTCACTCTTCAGCTGTTCTTGTGAGATCAGCAGTCCAGGGTCTTGTTGGTGCGTTTATATGGGGTATTTACTCACTGTTTGGATGCAAAACTGGTATTCATTCCTTTTCTGTTTTTCTTTCCAGATACAGTATTTTGTGCAGAGGCGTCCATCATTCAAGACACTGATAGCTGACAGCTACAGTGAGGTTCTTTTGTAAGTTCCAATATTTTTGATTGTGTTTCGGCATGAAACAAAGGAGTGCATGATATCTGTAGCTTTGTCTGAAGCCAGTTCCAAAAGGTAGAAGCTTTGCTATAATTTCCTGGGCAGCTGGAAGCAGCTGTCAGTGGATATTGTAGCATTTAAAAGAGAGAGTGTGGGCCAGTAATGTACTTTGGAGATAAAGCAAGTGATGGTCTCAGAAGTTTAGTAACTGGCTCATGCAGCAGAGTTAGGAATAGATCTCCAGGTTAACTGACTTGCAATCCAGTGTGTGTGCTGGATGTGCAGGAGTCCTCTTGTTCCTAAAAGGAGCTTTGCCTCTCCATAATTTAGACCCTTTGCTTTCCCAGCTGGATGGCAACTAAATGTGACAACTTCATGGAATGGTGCAGCGCTTCATAGAAAGAGAGCGCCAAAGAAATGTGTGTGTCTTCAGGGACCCTGCTTCCCTGCAGTCACAAGGAAGGACAAGAATGAGACTACAGAAGTTTGTAAAAGAAATTGTAGGGTTTGTAGAAGGGAAAGAGTGAAGGGAGGAGAGGCATTTTCTGCCAGGGCTCCTGTGTGTTTTGGAGAATCCCTGATTCTGCTGCATGTGTCATGGTACTCCTCCATTCACGCTACCTGTGGCTGACTCAGCATTCAGACTGTGCCTGTCTTTCAGCTTTGTTCATTCCCTGCTCCTCCTGAGCTCTGTGGTGCTGTACTTCTGTGGCCAGGAACTCTACGTGGCCTCCATGGTCTTCTCCTTGGCTCTGGGCTGGGCTAACATGCTGTACTACACCCGTGGCTTCCAGCAGATGGGCATTTACTCTGTCATGATTGCAAAGGTCAGTCCAGTGAATGGGTAGTGAGGCCAGCTGAGTGCTCAGGTCAGGAAACTCTTGCCAACACCCTGAAGAGAGAAGTAGCAATATGTACCTCCAGGTGACATTAAGAAGGCTCACATCACTCAACTACACTCGGCCATGATTTTCTGATCAAAGAGGTCACATTTAAAGTCGTGTAGAAAAACACCTGCTTCTCATCCATGCCCTTTAGAACAATCTTGATTCACTGTATTCAAAATAACCCTACAGTTGGGTAGATTTGAATGTAAGAAGACTCAGAACAGTGCAGATTTTGTCTAGCATGAAATAGCACAGCTTTCTACCAGCTGATACTTTCCTTAGGAGCATGTAGAATGTTACAAAACAGAGCAATTAGCTAATAGGCAGTAGCAACCTAATGAAGCTCTGCATAGGATTTAACCAACTAGCCCAAGAGAGGTACAGAGAGACAGCTTTCACACTGTGGTTTATATTTACAAAGATGAAGCTATTTGGCATGCATATGTGTGTAAACAGTTGCGTGAATAATGGAGAAAAATGTTTTCTGTATTAAAATTGATTTCGTCATCTGGATAAACAAGTTTATTGGACGAACGGCAAGTTCACAGCAAATGTCTTCTTGAGCTGAAGCAGTGTTTTCTACCAGTCTTTGTTGCAGTTTATATGCAAGTTTTAAGAATATAAAAATGTTCCATTTCCATGTTGCAGATGATCCTTAGAGATTTGTGTCGCTTCATGTTTGTCTACCTAGTATTCCTCTTGGGATTTTCCACAGGTAAGGTGATATTTGGAGTTACTTCTTGCTGTGTCAGAATCAGCCAAAGGGAATATTTTATAGAGGAATTTTGTAACTATGAGTGAAGACAATGTCCAGTAAAGATTCTGTCTTATTTTATGCCATATTTTTTATTTATTTATTCAATAGCTGTGGTGACTTTAATTGAAGATGACAATGAAGGGCAAAATACCAGTAGTGCTGACTATACCCGATCCTGCCATCCTAAACGAAGCCGTACTTCCTATAACAGTCTGTATTATACTTGCTTGGAGCTTTTCAAGTTCACTATTGGGATGGGGGACCTGGAGTTCACTGAGAACTACAGGTTCAAATCTGTGTTTGTCATCCTTTTGGTTCTCTATGTCATCCTTACTTACATCCTCCTGCTCAACATGCTTATTGCTCTGATGGGAGAAACTGTGAGCAAAATTGCACAGGAGAGCAAGTGCATCTGGAAACTCCAGGTATTTTGGTTCTATGAGGAATTAGGTTCTTTGTAGAATTAGGGTGTGGGGAATAAGAAAATCACAGAGAGTTTGTAAGAACTGGCTTATGTCTAAATAACAGATTTCTTCTTATTTCTGATTCACCTAAACAGATCCCCTCCAAAAAAGCAAACTGATTTCTTTCCCATGCATATCTGATGTTTTGCCTGAGCAGATGTTCTCAGTGTTCCACAGATGTTCAGAATTTAAGAAAAGAAGTACTTTTGTAATTAGATGACTTATTTGGGCATTGATGATGGAAAGTCCTGGTGAAAGTATGAAGACAGGGTTTATGCAAGAGTAGGGTAGGGAGTGGAGGGGAAGGAAGAAGTCGTTTTCCAGAGTCTCAGACAAAGCCACATCCGTTTTTCTTTTGAGTAAGAAAGAGAACTTGATAGTTCTAACCTAAGGGCAGTAATTCATCATTTTAAATGTTCATAGAGATAATGCTTAGTGATGGATATGGTACTTGTTCTAAGATGATATTAATGGTAAAATCTGAAGGTTTCTTTTATAAAGGGTTTGCATGACTTGAAATAGCAACTTCTCAGTGCTTTTCTTTCTCTTACCTGCTAGAGAGCCATCACAATCCTGGATATTGAAAACAGCTACCTGAATTGTTTGAGACGCTCATTCCGATCTGGGAAGCGAGTCTTGGTGGGGATCACACCCGATGGCCAAGATGATTACAGATGGTGCTTTAGGTAATCTTCTGTGTTAAATGAATCCTTTATGGGCAAACAACTATAACATTGAAGTCTTTGAAAATGGTAATGGGAAGCAGAACTCTTCCTTTGGGTCTCTCCTCTGAACAGTTAACACTGTCTGCTGTACTCACCTTGCCTGGGATGTGGCAATATGAGATATAAACTTATCCTGAAGTTGTTTGTTGATCCTTAGAGTAGATATTCCTTTTGTCCTTCTCTCCCCAGAGTTGATGAAGTGAACTGGTCCACGTGGAATACTAATCTGGGCATAATCAACGAAGACCCTGGGTACTCTGGGGAACTCAAACGAAATCCCAGCTACTCTATTAAGGCTGGCCGAGGTGAGGGTTGCAGGGACTTAGATCCTGGAATGGACTGCACACTGATAACAGAAGAGCACAGGTTAATTTTTAGAGGGCAGTCACTTTATACACTCACTAATGATAATGGCTGTAGCTAATTTAATGGCTTTTTCAATCAGTGCAAAATACAAAGGATGAAGTGGACTCATTATTCACTTAGCAATTCTATTCTTTGGAATAAAGGCCCTGGGGATTCTTTATTCAGATTGTAGATTTCGAAAGGCAGATAATGAGAGTAAATCCTGAGGAGTAGCACAGCGTCTAATGGCAGGCAGATATCCAAGAGGCTGCCTAGAAGCCCCAGATTCTCTAGTTTGGGAGCTCAGCACTCAGCACAAAAGTGTTCAACCCTAAAATCAACCTCTGCTGTGCTTCCTGTCTCAAATATGGAAAACTTATGGAATAATATTGGGGGGAATGTAAACATAAAGTCTTTTTTTCTTGTTTCTTTCTTTTTCATTGGCTTTCTGTTCAAACCACTGGTATATCCTCTTGTTTCTGCGGAGGGGAAAAAACCAACCATTCCTTTCCTTTCTAGTTTCAGGAAAAAACTGGAAAACACTGGTTCCTCTTTTAAGGGATGGAAGCAGGAGAGAAGAGACACCAAAGCTACCAGAAGAAGTCAAATTAAAACCCATTTTGGAACCTTATTATGAGCCAGAAGACTCCGAGACATTGAAGGAGTCACTTCCAAAGTCAGTGTAATTGTAGTTTGTTTATAGAAGAGATTATTCTAGTTGCCTGTATTGGTACTTAAAAGCACAGAATTAGAGCACGTGGTTCATAAGAACAGAGATTTATGGAGAAAGTTCAAAGGAAATTACTATATGGAAGGAATATATGCTAAATAAACTATTTGCTCTTTAAGCTCATGTCTATATTGTTATCTTTAATAATCTGCAAAAAATGGCTATTTAGTACTTGGTTTAAGCTGATGAAGTATGAGAAACACTTTGCACAAAAGGAAATAAATTAAGAATTTCCCACACTTGAGAGTTTTCAATAAGGGAGTGATTCCTTTTTCTCCTGCAGATTTTCCAGATTTCATCTATTTCTTTTACTCTTTCAAATTGCTCTCATGCATTTTTTTTTTTTTTGAAGAGACTGCGTTCTCCCCTGAGTCATCAGCTGTCACTATGGCATGAAGTACTGTGTTGCCCAGGGAATACTAGGAAGATTGGCATTTGCATCATTAGCTGACAGGAGCTTCCCTGGGTATTCTCCTGTTGATCATATGGAAACAACATAAGCACCTCTACAAAAATGGCCATCATGGCCATCATTTGACAACCCCAAACACAGATTTTCTATGTTCTTCTTGCTTTTAGACTTTTTTCCCATATTTTAAAAAGAATTTGTGTGAGAAAATACAGGCCTCAATTTCGTGACACAAGAACAAATATATTCTATGAAATTTTAAATGTTGGATGGTTAAATCAATGAAATAAATGTTATGCTTACAGTGTCTGAGTAAACTCCAGAATTCAGTTATTACTGCTGAGGCTAAAGGATCTCAAATCTGACATTCATTTAGATAACAGATGAACTTTGCACAAAGTAAGAAATAGTGGTTATAGAGAATATGTATTTCAAAGGTCAGATTTATAATAATGTATAACGGTAATAATCTAAGCATCAGAAACTTTTTGTTCTTGAGGAGGAAAGATCTGATGTTGCAAATCACTCTGGCTTGATATACACAGGACCAGGAAAACTGTCAGAAAATAGGCAGACGTTCAAAATTACAGACAGGAACTCTGGAAAGAGAAAAGAATAGGAGGGACTTCTACATCCTCACAAAAATTTTCTACGAAAAGGATTTAAGGGTAAGAAAATTTGTCTTATCGCAACTTGTAACTGGCCAAGGATTGTAGTGCTGGGTATCAGCAAAGCACTAAGACTTAGCAGCCTTTAATGTGCAAGTACAGGCAGGGTGCAAATGCAAGTATCTTTATGCCAACAGTTTTAAAGCATGAGGTTGAGTCTGAACTTGTGCACTGTTCCTGGGACTCCACTTGAGGTTCAGAAGTGTTAAATTACTTCTGCAAAACTGCACCAGAATGCACAGCCCTTTGCCAGGGAGAGCCGTTTGCCTGGCCCGCGATGTGTCAAAAGCCTGTGGTGAGAGAACATCCACATGAGTCACGGCACTTGAAAAGTGGTGGTGTGTGTGCTGGAGGGGCCAGCAACAGGTTATTGAGAAAATTGGAAACCAAAGAAATAGAAAGCCCGTAAAAGTCAGTTTCAACAACACATCCTATAATTTTTCTGCCTTAGTAAGGTATTGAAACATTCACTCTTCTTAAAGAGAAGCAATTAATATATTTACATACACAGTACCTGCTACTGCTCACATTATTAAATGAAATATTGTTTGAAGCTATTGTATTTATAGCAGTGGGATTTCTCACAGTGCTTCTTTTTCCTCAAGTATTATAGAAATGCATCTCAACAATGCATCCTCTTCTAGGATCTAGCTGCTTTATTTGAAATAGTAGCACCATCTAGAGGACTAAGAATCCCTGTTTCTTTAATCAACATAATTCAGGACAGATATCATTTTATTTCATAGAGTTTGCAGAATGTAACCATAAAAATTGTCAAAGCAGTTGAAAGAATTCCTTTCAAAAATCCATAATTGAAACCCAACAAGCTATTCGTCTTTTACTCTGGTGAGAAGAAGAACACAAGGATGTTTGAAGTTCAGTTTTGTGCATCTCTAAAGACTTGTGAGGGCTACATCGTTAGCTTCTTAGCTTGCACCTTGGGAATGACAGGCAGCACTGCCCCTAGTACAGATAGGAGGAGAAAAGAGACAGAAAAAGAATGATAGGATCATTCTTCTCAGCATTTATTATTATTTGGTGTTTATGGAGTCTCCTGTAGTTTTGCCAAGAGAGGGGTTAGTTATGACCTGAAGGCAAACACTGGTGCTGCTAACACAAGCAGATCTTTACTATGCTAATCCCAACCACTTCATGACTGAGCTGCTCCCTGGGCAGTGGCCACAGGTGCCTGCACTTAGTGCAGGAACTGGAGTGAGTCAGGTGGAGATGACTGCACGAACAGGTGGAGAAGGAGCACAAAAATGGAGAAAGGGAGATGGTGCTTTTCCTTGGCAGTGAGGAAGTGGTAGAAACTGGGGCCTAAGATCAGCCTCTCTTATTTTTTTTTTCTCTTACATATATTTGAATAGTTTCTGTGAGCCCTAGCCATGAATTGGGGCACTGCTGTGCAAATGCAAAATAGAAATGTGGGATTTTTTTTTCTCCCTCAAAGCTAGCAGCTCAGCTATGAAAGACAAGACAAGAGCAGATTAGAGACAGGCTGAGGAGTGCCATGGGCAGTACTGCTCTTTGGGATAGGCAAAGGTCTTGGGGCATCAGAGCTGCATCTGGAGGAATCTGAATTTAGCAAATTTAATTAAAGTGCCTGGCTGCTGGGTAATTTTGACAGTGCTAGTATGGTGCTATTTCTTCAGAATACCAGATTCTTTTGCTTCTCCTGAGGGAAAGAAAGTGACAACAAATAAGCTGCACGTATAGTGACACAGTTGCAGAGAAGATGCTTGTGATGGAGGGTGACTGCGCTTCCCTGTCCTCTGGTGACTGTGACTATCTACCATGGCAGGAGTCCTTGGGGAATCAAAAATCCAGGTAGGACTGTCAAGCAAACGTACGTAGCAATATTGCTAGAGAGGCTGGCTTCCCCCTGGAGTCTGGACTGTACCAACTGTTCAGTGATATCCCAGTAATATTTTCCAGGAAAATATGTACAGCCTAATACATATCTCTATTGCTCAGCTGTCCACAATAATCTCTTATCTCATAGTATGCCTAATACTTATATATTTGCAGTTGCCATTCAGTTGTCTGGATGGAAGGGACAAGCTCTTCATAGAGGTGTAGCAGTTCACAGATACAATCTTATAATGAGTTTAACTTTAAGAGTGAATGAATTGGGGAGATAATGTTACTGAATCTCTTAATGCACAACCAGGAATACACTGTTTAATTTTGCTAGCTGCAGTCTCTGCATCCGAAAATGTGTTTTTTAACTATTTGCTTGGCATATTGCATGGTGTATATGTCCAAAATTGTTGTTTTCAGTCCAGAACTCAGCTGTCTCTTGAAGTCCCCTATCTTTCACACTTCAGAGTGAAAACAGTTAAACAGAAAGTGAGAATTTCGGCAAGATTTGAAAAACAAATAAGGAATGATGTGATGAAAATTCAGGTACAATTATTAAACAAATCTTTTGTAGAACTGACTAAAAATGTTCACAGTTTTTTGTCTAGCACAACACTTGTATGAACTGCTGTGAAAACAGCAGCACACTTCTCTTAGAATCCAGGATCAGACTCATTTTTTGTAATATGAGAAACTGAAAGAGAAATAGTAATACTGATAAAGCAATAGCTAAGCAATAGTTATTTAATTATTTTTTTCCCTTATGCAGTTTGTGCAAAATGCCCCAGGAAGCGTTAAGGATCAAGGTCAATTTATCGATTTAAGATGTACAGACGGGTTTCTTTTTTTTTTCTGCTGCTCTGTTTTCTGGTGGCATAAAAAGATCTGTTGCAAGGGAGACAACTGGCCACTTATAGTTAACTGAAGAGGAATCAATAACACAAACCCTTTCAATACTGGGGCCTGAATGTATGAAGAAAATCTAACTCCTAAAAAATCAAGAGTTCAGTGTCAGAAAACAGGCCCATAAGATGGAGAAAACTCTGCCTTGCTATGTTGCCTGTGGATTGCTGTCTGTGTTTATGCTCTCAGCACCAGTGTAGCACAGCAGCACACCGTTTGACCTTCCTTTCCTTATATCTGGTTTCAAGTTTGCTGGAAAAATCTATGGGAAAATGGTAATATCTTATGCTTCTCATCATGCCCTACTGAAGTACCTCTTCATGTGGCTCTTCAACATAAGCTATGCTGCTAGCATCAAATGCATACGGATTCTTTTAAGCCCAAAGTCTGTCTGTGATCTCTTGCACACTCCCCACAACAGAACAACAATTCTGAAATCTTTTCTACAGAAATGAAGAGAATTTAAATGCACAGTGAAAAATCATGGAGTTGTTTGTGAATCAATTAAACATTAAGCTCAGGGGAACTGGCTGATACTGGTGGTTGGCATGCAGTATTTTAATATTTAAGCTTTGGATTATTTTTAAGGCATCAGGGGAACAGTATGCTGGCAATAAATAATTTACAATTATTCTCCCTATTACCCATTAATGTTAAAAAGAAAATACTTTTTAGACAATGCTTTTCCTCTTAGTGGGTCCCTGTCGGGGTAGCAAAAATCAGAGAAGAGAATATCTGAATATCTTCCTAAAGCGAGTTTTATTCTGATCATGTCACGTAACAGCAGAACAGCTAATGCAGCTCTGACTCCCTGATGTCAGATGGCAGATCTCCAAATGCTCAATCCCTCCCATCTGGGGCTTCCTTCATCTTGCTCATTTTAGTTTCTAGCAAGTCTAGCGCTTGTTAGAAAAACAAAATAATGAATGCCAAATAGGCTGCAAATGTGCTGCTTACTGGTACTGTGCAGACTATTCAAAACTAACATTTCAAGTCATTTTTCATCAGAGGTCTGTGCCAAGGTATTAATGTTTCTGACCTTTATGGCGTCTCTATTAGTAACTGGTAAAAAGCAGCATAAACATTATTGTTTGAAGCCCTTTTGACATTGAAGCAGCTGGTAACTGTTGTAAAACTCTGTGAAATGATCTACGCAGCTTATTGCAAAACCCTCCGTGGCTTCTGAAAAATGTGGGCCTTGTCAGA